TGAGTATGGAATAAATTTTGTATACACATCTCGGTGCCAAGTTCCAGTCCTCTGCAATAAACACCTCCAGAGATATGCAGCGTAGAAAAATCAATTTGCATGGGAGTTACCACCTTTTCCAATAACTCTCATTTCTCTCCATAAGTATGGTATTAGTTTCACATACATACATACATATGTATTTNAATCACCATACCTACTTGATCAAATTAAGATTTAATGATTAAAAATTAATTTTTTTAATCGCGGTTACGATTAACTGTTTAGTCAGATTAAAATTGATCATGATTAACTGTAATCAGATTGAATTAATCGAATTAACTAACTGATTCAACATCATTCAATCGATTAATGCCATCATGGATTTACATATCACTATACCAAGTTTCAGTTCTCTCCCACAAATACTTCCAGAGATATGTATGTAATATGAAAATTCCAATTTGTATGGGAGGGGCCTTGAGTTTTCGGACATACTTTCGGTCTAAGACCATCCTTCTGAAATCCGTAGTAAGTGTACTAAATTTCGTTCTGATCGGAAAACCGGTTAAGGAAGTAGCATATTTTTCAATCCAGATCATAAACCATCTTTGAACAAAATTTCGTTTTCAAACAGGTGGCGATTCTTAAAAAAGTAGCGTATTTTCCAGTCTAGGTCATAAGCTATCTGTGTGCAAACTTTCATGCAAATCAGTTCAGTCATTTACGCGTATTAATTTAATTAAACTTTCCTAATACGTGATAACTCTTAAAATAGTAGCCTATTTTCCAATATAGGTCATAAGCTATCTCTGTGCGAAATGTCATGCAAATATGTTCAGTCGTTTGCGCGTATTAATTTAAGTAAAACTTTTTTAACAGTTGGAAACTCTTCCAAAAAATTAGCCTATTTTCCACTGTAGGTCATAAGCTATCTGCTTGCAAAATTTCATGCAAATCCGTTCAGACTTTTCCGCGTATTAATTCATTTAAACTTTTTAGCAGGTGGTAACTTTTAAAAAAAAGTAGCCTATTTTTCAACCTAGCTCATAAGCTATCTGTGTGAAAACTTCCATGCAAATCAGTTCACACATTTCCGCGTATTAATTAAATTAAACATTTCTAACAGGTGGCAACTCTTAAAAAAGTGGCCTACTTTCCAATCTATGTCATGAGCTATCTGTGTGAAAAATTTCATGCAAATCCGTTTAGTCGTTTCCGCGTATTAATTTATTTAAACTTTTTTAACAAGTGGCAAGTCTTCCAAAAAAGTCGCCTATTTTCCACTGTAGGTCATAAGCTATCTGCTTGTAAAATTTCATGCAAATCCCTTCAGACTTTTCCACGTATTAATTTAATTAAACTTTTTAGCAGGTGGTAACTCTTAAAAAAATTATCCTATTTTTCAACCTAGGTCATAAGCTATCTCTGTGCAAAATTTCATGCAAATCCGTTTAGTCGTTTCCGCGTATTAATTTATTTAAACTTTTTTAACAGGTGGCGACTCTTCCAAAAAAAAGTCGCCGGTTTTCCACTGTAGATCATAAGCTATCTGCTTGCAAAATTTCATGCAAATCCATTCAGTCGTTTCCGCGTAATAATTTAATTAAACTATTTTGACAGGTGGCAACTCTTAAGAAAAGTAGCCTGTTTTCTATCTGTGTGCAAATTTTAATGCAAATCCATTCAGTCGTTCCCGCATATTAAATAAATTAAATTTTTTAACAGGTGGCAACTCTCAAAGTATAGCCTATTAACCAATCTGGCCCATAAGCTATCTGCGTGCCAATTTTTTTTGCAAATCCGTTCAGTCGTTTCCGCGTGATGATTTCCTAAACATCCAAACATACAAACATACAAACTTTCACATTTATAATATTAGTAAGAAGTAAGATTTGCACGTTGCCTGCAGCGGAATTCGAGCCCTGACCCTCCGTGGATATCAACAAATTGTGGTAAGCATCTTTTCGCACTCAGCTACAGCCAGACATATAAATGTGCTTTCAAATGACTTTAAAATGAATTTGGCTTAAACAACTTCAAAGTCAGTATGTTTCGTTTGAATACGCTTTCGTTCTGCACTTCTCAGATGCTTTTTCATAACTAAGAAAAGCCGAAAATAAAAATTTAAAATTGAATGAGATTTGAACATGGACATGCGGTGACCCCTAGTAAAACTCGCAACTTGACGTTTTCCTGGGGGAAATTCTGTAATCAGTTAAGCTTTGGTTTCCTCGAAAAGCGGTGCCGTAATATTACGACCGTATCATACGGAACGCTATTCTCAACGCTAATAGCGGTACCGCTTTTATGTAAAGCTAAATGAACGTAACGTAGATGTGTGCTTTTATGTTGTATAGGCACTCATTGCTTTTCACAAAGTTTATTAGGACTTCGTCCTCTTCGGCCGTCCATGCACTTTCCCCTTTATTATTCAAAATTGATAGAAATATATACTAAATGCTTTTATTTTGGTCAAAATAGTTGTAAACAAATTTTCTAATACACAGCTACACCAAACGTTGCCAAAAAACGTTGATAAAAAGTTCTACACCGTCACTGTCGCCATCAGAAATATTACGGTGCCGTCAAATTTCATTACGGTGTGTATAGCCGTCATCTTAGTTAACATCTGGTAATATTTACATGGCAACGTTTTTGGCACCGTAAAGTTACGACCGTTATTTTACGTTACCGCTTTCGAGGAAACCAAAGCTTTAGCGACAATTTTCGGATTGCTATCGTAATTTTTGATGCATGATATGAATATTGTTGCATCAACAGGTGCGATAGCGATCCAAATTTTGTCACTAACTGGTTGCAGAATATTCTATCAAAAATATCTGTTTAGTAGACGTCGACAGGTTAAAATGTTCAATGAAAACAAATGAATTGGTTAGTTCGACAACCGTACAAGTCCAAAATCAGCGTTCCAAGATATTCAATAACAAGTAAAGAAGTAAAAGTTCGGGCGAAACCGCACTTTATATACCCGGCGCACGTATTAAATATCGTTTTTTCACATTTCATTAATCTGCATGATAAGCAAGAGTATTTTTCCCGATGCCAAACAGTTTCGATAATATGCTATGAGATATTGAAATACTTGGATCAAGTTTGCTGGAAATCTAAAAGGGGGCTATCAATATACACTTACATATGCATTTAGGCATAAGTGAGTGGTGCCACGCCCATTAAGAAAAAATCAATAATATTGTCTTGTTAAGAGACTGTTGTAAGTTGGCGTGTTTAGTTATCGAAATATCGGAATATTCGTATTTCTGAAACTTACCGTTACATGGTAGGTGGCGTTAATTTAAGTCCGATTTAAAAAATTTTCATCATATCGCTTCTTTGAGCCCAGGTTAATAAATGTACCTAGTTTGGTAGAAATTGATAAACCGGTTACCGAGATACACATATGCAGGGGTAAGTGGGCGGTGTCACGCCCATTTTTCCAAAAATTCCTCTAAGTAGCGTTTTCTGCTGAGAGGTCATTGTATATATCGATTTTGAGTAAATTGGCTTAAATAGTTACTAATTTATAGCAGTTTTCATATTTCTGTAAATTACCGTTACATGGGTGGTAGGCGTGGTTCTTGTCTGATTTCAAAAATTTTCACAGGGTTTCTTAGTGGGACAGTGGGCGGTGCCACGCCCATTTTCGAAAAATGTCATAACTGTCTTATTTTATGCCACAATTCTATTTCGAGTACCAACTTTCAATAATAATTAATTTTGATCCAGTATTTACGGAAATATCGTAGTTTATGTATATTTCGAAAATACCGTTATATGAGAGGTGGGCATGGTTATTGTACGATCAATCCCAACCTACCTTGGATAAAGGGTATCCTACTTACCAAATTTCATTGACTTATCTCAATTTTTTCTCGAGTTATCGTGTATACGGGTAGACAGACGGACAGACGGACGGGCAGACATGGCT